ACCCCTTTCTCTCCTTTCTCACTTTCTCTCTCGATTTTTTCCCCACTAACCCCCCCTGTCAGCTCCGGCTTTGTGGCGCATTGGCATATAACTGATTAATAAAGAGTATACCTCAAGTAACAAGAGGAGCTTAAATCCGAAGCTCCACTTGTTAAAATAAAAGTGTTGGCACAATAAGGCACCCAGACTAACATCCTGCTTGCATAACTGCCGACACGACAGGGGGATATAAAAAAAAAAAAAAAAAAAAAAAAAAAGAAGGATATATGGGCATCTGGGGAGTGACTGGCAGGTCAGAGTATTCGATCTGTTGACTGTTTGCATATGTTGGACTGACAGCACACCTCTTTAGGCAGAGAAAAGCTATTCCTCTGAAACACTGTCCACTTAATCAACTTAGTCAGTGTACTGGGGAAGGGATAGATCAAATAGACTGATATAAGGTTTGTAAAGTGATTTCATGCTAAGGCACGACCCAAATGCAGGCTGTAGGTTGGCAAAAACCCTTGCAGGGGAATTAATTGTTATGACAACCAGGCGATGCTTGTTTGGAGCTCTGCCAGGAGGAAGACTGAAGGATCAGTTGGGCGGAGCGAGCAGGGAGTGACAATTTTTAAAATAGAAAAATATAGTTCATATGCCATGGCTGCTGTATTTTATAGCTTTTGATACACTAACAATTAGGGTATTTGGCATCATTTTAAAATGTGTTTTTATGTATCTTTGAGTGTTAAGTGTTTTCTTAGAATGACTGACAGGCAAAGGGTAGGTTTAATACCTATTAGGTCCTCGAGATTTATATATATATATATATATATATATATATATATATATATATATTCTTTAGGTGTGTCAATATTTTGTCCACATCCAGTATAGTCTAGGTGATGTTTTAAACACTTTATAAATGTAACGTTTGATTGCAGATATATGGTTGTGTGTTTTTACCCAGTAATGCATTTGGACCTTTGCCAGTATGACGTTTTAGTGACGTTTCCTAAAGCAAAAGTAAAACTAAAGTTGTTTCTGACTTCCTTACTTTAATCTATGCTAATAATTTGTAATAAAGTTCAACTTATAGTGTCTTATATTGCTTGATATATGTCCTTCTTTGGAGGCAGGACTTAATTTAGCAAAACTGAAAACACGTCTGTGAATAGTGACGCATCTGCAGGTAAGCAAGCAAACTGTTTAAATTTTGAAACTTACGGTTGTGCCACAGGCCTATTAGAGCTACTTTTTCTACGGTTCAACCTTTGAAATATTATCATATGATTAAAAAATGGTGAAAAATGATATTAAATCACATTGATTTAAATTCCTCTAATATGAGGATGATAGTATGTTCTGTTACTAAGGATAATTTTAGGTAACTTCAAACCACATAATTCAAGTAAAACCACTGGGTACAGATGTGAAAGGATTTCCCACCGTAATACTGATATATCGATGATCAGCAATTGGTACATTTGTTTTTAAATATTTTTAAGGAAAATACTTAGACATAGTTATTTCTGTTGTAGGGGAGACCGGGAATAGATGTCACATTTTTTTTTTACATTTTTGCCTGTACCTCAGAGCTCTATTAAAGAATCACATTCAACATTTGATACAAACTAGCTGCATGTGTCTTCTATTAAACAGCACAGGATTTATCTCTGTATCACAAACAGACAATGAATAGTTTAGACTCAAACACTTGGAGTGAAATGTTACAATTTACCCCATAGTCAGTGATAAGTAACATACTGTAGCTCTGTGTTATACGTAATATTATAAATGATTCAAGATATTTATAATTTTTTTGTTCAACAAAATTTGTGGGTATGTTTGCATATGTGTACAATGTATATTAATCATAATTAAAATCAAAGATCATAATAAAACCAAACAACCGTGTACCAGTTTTAATAACTGAATAATATTGTGCATCTGCGGCATCGTTAGGCATATTTTAGTCTGGCTTTAGCCCCGTTAAAATGTTTTTTAGTCCTTCCCAAATAAATGTAAAAATAAATTTGAGCCATTTCCATCAGACCCCCCCTGATAAAGGCTTAGCCCCCCCCCCCCGCCCCGCCCCCTTTCAGAAATCTCTAGTGACGTACCTGGTATGCATGTCTGCCTGTTTTGTGTGTGTGTGTGTGTATATGTTAGGTTTTTATTACATTGTGGGGACCAAATGTCCCCCACAAAGTGATACAAACTTATGTTGACGTTGTATGGACCATTTTTCAGGTCCCCACAAAGATCTGTGAATGCAATTACAAAACTAAAAATACCAAAAGTCTCATATTTTGTTTGGTTACTTATGGTTAAGGTTAGGGCTGGCTGCATCATGTTGGGATTAGAGTTTTCTCCATAGAAATGAATGGAGAGTCCCCACAAGATATAATTACAAACATGTGTGTGTATCTGTGTGTGTGAGATGTTATTCACCTTCAGAATCATCATGGTGACAGGGGTATTGAATTCCTCCTAGTGTACAGATTTGATGGGCCCACGTTGGACAGACTTTGCATTTCAGCCAATTTTCCTTTGACTTTGAAATGTTCCACAGACACAATGCAGAAGTTCACTGAGCTTGAGAAGTGCCCTGTTGTATAGCTTGAGGACTGGCCTGGTGGGGGTTGGAGAAATACTGTTACAGCTATCCTAGACTGTGTTAGCCGTGAACAAGGATACCTTGCAGCTATGAGCAGCAATATTAACTTGTATAAAAGTTCCTTCTTCACTTGTGAAATAAAGACTAAACATAGCATGTGCAGAGTGAGTTATGTGATTTGTCCCTCATTCCTGTTTTAAATAGACTTTGTTACCACTACCCCATGTTACAATCATCTTAGTCTCCCCTAGAGCCTTTTCTCATTTTCCCCATTTTTCACAGATAAACCTGTATTTACCTGAATATACCTGGAGTCCAGTGATGAAGGACAAATGGTCTTCATGCTCTTGTTTCATCCTCTTGCTATTCCAATATGCCAGTGTATCCAGACCAGGTACAGTGGATAATTTCCATAATCACTGACAAACTAAATTAAATACTAAAGTTTTTGTGTGTGTCTTGCACAAATGGCTGTTTACTAACTAATGAAATGTGTTACTGTTGTATTACTGTTCTTTTCAGAAAAGTTTGAGGTTCTTGGTCCATCACACCCTGTTGTGGTTGTAGCTGGTGAAGATGTGGTTCTGCCATGTTTTCTCAAGCCCAGTATCAGTGCTGTGGACATGGAGGTCATGTGGTTCAGAAAGGACTTCAAGGAGTATGTGTATCTATACCAAGATACTAAGACTATTACTACGAATCAGATCCCATCTTACAAGGAAAGGGCAGCGCTGTTCCCAGAAGAACTGACAAAAGGAAATGTTTCACTAAAGCTGACAAGAGTAAAAAGTTCAGACGGCGGCCGGTATAAATGCTTTGTTCAGTCTACAGAGTCGCATGATGATTGGTCCATTGATGTAATTATCATGGGTATGTATATGTATTTTTAAAAGTATTCAAATATTTGATTTTATTATACCAGTAATATGTATATATGTCTGGATTTCTTAACTGTGTAGTTAAAGATCCTAAAAAGTGTCTCTATCCCTAGGAACCCAGTCATTGATCTCCATTGAAAGAAACGGAGATAGAGGAATCAGTTTTATGTATGAACTTCAAAGCTGGTATCCTGATGCTGAAGTTACCTGGTTGGACAGTGAAGGTCAAAATCTCACTGCTGAACATTCAGAAACACATAGAAGCACAGATGGTTCTCTCAGTCTGAGAGGACGTGTCATTGTACATGAGACAGAGAATAACATGTTTACCTGTCGAGTTCTGCAGAAGAAGCTTGGTCTACTAAGAGAGGAGGTCGTTGAAATATCTGGTGAGTTATATCATTTAAAAGTATTTAAAATTTGGCCCAGTATTTTAAACTTTTTAATAAGAACATGCCAGTATCCTCCAAGTTATGGTTTATAATCTTGCTCGTCATTAACCATTAACTTAATTTGGTAGATGACCAGTGGCCTGTTTGTCCATAATACCTGTAAAAGGCCCAGACACTGGATTTCTTAGTTGTTCAGGTAACCTCTCTACTGAAAGGATCACTTTAGAATTTTTAGCCTTTTTCTGTGTATAATATACCTGCATGCACCATACCTACTAATGGTACATGTATATTAATTTTGCATAATGAAAATGTGTGTGGCCTCTGTCTCTCTGTGCTTTCTTGGTAAGTCAGTGGAGAGAGTTCAAATATCCAGCTGTGGGTGTAGTATAGAAACTGACAATGTAAAAATGTGTATGTTTATGCATGTTGCTAAAAAAACAACATGCTTAAATAAATCTAATATATCACATCTTGTTTCACAGGTGAGCTGTTTCAGCATGCCTATCCATGGAAGGTGGCTTGCTGGTGTCTTCTCTGTGCTCTTGCAGTAACTGCAATGGCAATTTTAATTCTCTGTAAAAAAAATCGAAGGAAAAATGGTAGGTTGTTGTTTATGTTACTAGTGCATTGAATACTTACACTAAATATTGATTAATCCTCCAATAACTAACAAAACAACTTATTTTTCCTCCATTGTCTTGAGGTGGCAGTGTAGTTTCATATGAAATTATGTGTGGAGTTTAACCTAAAAGCTTTTTGCGTCTCTCATGCTAATTTAGCATAAATATCACAGCTTCTGTTGTGCGGTGGAAAAGCAACACAACAAACTGGCCAGGAGCTACAAAAGTTCCTGATCGAGACGGGCAGTGGAACTTGGTACCAGGAACTAGGTACCTTAACTTTGTTAGGAAAGTGTCTTATGAGGGTGAAGAGTAGGCTTACAGACTGGATCTTGCATGAGTTTTGTTTTCCTCCTCAGGGGTTATACTGACATTTCAATAGGCACTTTTACACCAAAGTTCGGGAACCTGGTCCCAGGTTACAAGTTCCTGGGCTGCCTGGACCTGGGACTTTTGTAGCTTCTGGCCACATTCAGGTCAACCATCCAAAATATTCAGAAATTTAGTCTCTTAATATTTTTTCAGCATTTTTTCCCCCAATGACAATGCAATGTAAAAATACTGTGGAGTATTTCAGATTTCTGAATGTCATCAAATTTTAGCCTCCTGTCTACTAATGGTGTTTTGGCCATGGCCAAAAGTTTTAAGAATGACATAAATATTAATTTTCACTAAGTGTGCAGCCACAGTTTTTATGATAAGAACATAAGAAATTTACAAATGAGAAGAGGTCATTTGGCTCATCAAGCTCGTTTAGGGAGAACTTAACTAATAGCTCAGAGTTGATAAAATCTTATCTAGCTCTGATTTGCATATTCCAAACCAGAATCTTACTGTATGAAGAGTCATCAGATGAATTGCAATTAATTGCAAAGTATCTCTTTGCAATGAAAATGAACTTAATCCCCAATTGGGCCTTATCCTGAATGATGGAGCACCATGCCATAAGGCAAAAGTGATATCTAAGTGGCTTGGGGAACGAAATATCGACATTTTGGGTCCATGGCCAGGAAACTCCCTAAACCTTAATCCCATTGAGAACTTGTGGTCAATCCTGAAGAGGCGGGTGGACAAACAAAAACCCAGAAAGTCTCGTAAACTCAGACTGCCAGGGCAAACTGCAGAGGTCCTGAAAAAGAAGGGCCAACACTGCAGATATTGTCATTTTGCATAAACTTAATGTAATTGTCAATAAAAGCTTTTGACACTTATTAAATGCTTGTAATTATACTTCAGTATACCATAGAAACATCTGACAAACAGATCTACAAACACTGAAGCAGCCAATACTTGTGTCTTTCTCAATACTTTTGGCCATGACTGTATATGAAGAAAGGTTGTAAAGGTCAAGGTATATGCACTGATGCACGAAAATACAGAAATACTAGCTGACTTTGGCATATTCCATCTACAAAGAGTGTGCAGCACGGATGGCTGTAGTACGAGACGGAACCTCTAACAGAGGGACATCAAACTGCTAGAGTAAATGATGTTGTATGTGCTACATCTCTAACTTCTGACTGATATCTATGTTCAACAGCTCAGCTCAGGACAACAGAAGGTAGGTTCTGTATGTATCTGTGTGTCTGTATGTATGTATCTATGTATTTATGTATGTACATGCATCTTTCAGCACAGGCTATCAAATTATCAATCTTCCTGTCAAAGGTGTAGATTAGGGCATGAGTGGTGTGGACTTGTTCCTACCAATATTGTGGGAAAATGCAGAAATCTTGTTTGTAGATATTTTGTCAGCACTTTCTTCCCAATAACATGAAATGACAAATCAGGAATCAGGAAGCAGAGACAGGATGGTATATGCACTTATGCGTAAAAATACTGTGGGATATTTAAGATATCTGAGTGTTTTTTGTTTGTAGGGTTTGGCTAAGATAACATAGCCTTTAATTCAAAGGGGGAAATCTGTCAATTATCCCAAAGATGGAAGGATGGGGGGAGGGTGGTTTGCACTGTTGCCTCACCCCTATGGGACCCGGGTTCAAGTCTCCACCTGGGTTCCACGTGTGTGAAGTTTGCATGCTGCCCCCATGTTGCTGTGGGGTTTCTTCCAGGTATTTCAGCCCACCCCACAGCCCAAAAACATGCTGAGGCTAATTGGAATTACCAAATTATCCATAGGTGTGAATGTGCCCTGCAATGGGTTGGTACCCCATCCTGGGTTGTTCCCTGCTTTGCCCCCATAGGCTCCAGACCCCCACAGCCCTGACTAGGACATGCAGTTACAGAAGATGGATCCCTGGGATGGTCTATAAACCATCCTACTTAATTTCATGAAATCATTTGTTTGACCTAGTTGAAACAAACTAGTTTGTTTCAACTAGTCCAGAATGCTGCAGCCCGCCTTCTAACCAGAACGCGAAGGCGTGAGCATATTACACCTGTGCTCGCCGCTCATCTTTGGCTCCCTGTCCATTATAGGATTCATTTCAAAATTCTTTTATTCGTTTTTAAATCTGTACATGGTCTGGCACCTTCCTACATATCAGGTCTCTTAAAAGTTCATACACCCTCCAGGGCTCTTAGGTCAGCTGACCAAATCCGCCTAGTCATTCCTCCCTCTAGGCTAAAAAGCCGAGGTGATTGGGCCTAAGCTCTGGAATGAGCTGCCATTGCACATCCGCCTGGCTCCTTCCTTAGCTGTTTTTAAATCTCATCTTAAAACCCATTTTTAAGCCCTGGCATTCAGTACAGCATGAATGAGTTATTTAGTTACCTGTACTTTATTTTTTGTATTTTGTTTCATGTTTACTTTGTGTTGCCCTCTCCGTTTGTCTATCAGGTCGTATTTCCTTGCTTGTCCAGCACTTTGATCAGCTGTTATCGTTGTTTTTAAAGTGCTTTATAAATAAACGTGACACGACTTGACTTGACCGATCCATGAATTCCATATTAATTATGTGCCTGTTTTGCTTTTCTCAGCTCAGCACTATGCTTTGATTTTCATATACACTGCATGCACTTTGAAAACTTACATTAGGATTCTCATTAAAACCTTTAACAAAGAGTGTGTATCAAGGATGACTGTAATATAAGAAGAAAAATTGAATGGAGGAACTTCAAAGCTGCTACAGTAAATCATGTTCTATGTCCTACAACAATCATCTCTGACTAACATCTCTGTTCTTCAACAGCTGAGCTCAATGAAACGAAAGGTAAGTTCTGTATGTGTCTTTGTGTCTGTATGTGTCTGTATGTATGTGGATCTTTCAGCACAGGGTTTCCAATTATAGCCTCATGCCAAAGGTGTAGATTTGGGTATAGACTGCAGGGACATGCCCCTACCAATACTGCAGGAGTATGCAGAAATCTTGTCTTGTTGATATTTTGTCAGCTTTGTTACCTTTCTTGGGGTAAAAGCACTAGGGAAGACTAGGAACATAAGGCTCCTCAAAACAGAAAAACAGGCACAGCAGGGTAAATCAAAATGAGGACAAAAAGCAAAGACAAAGATATAAAATAACAAAGAGGAAAAACTGATAAGACATACATAACAGATGAGGCTGGCCTCTGGGCTTAGAACTAAGACAGAGGAAGAAACAGGATGGTCAGCAACACCTGCTGGCCAAATGAGGACGGAACACCTAGGACAGAGATGGACTTTATGACAGAGAGGGGGAAAGACGGAATGGCCAGCAATGTCTACTGGCTGAGCAGGGCCAGGTCACAGAGGATGGGGTCAGATGGGGACAACCCTGACACGTACATAATGTCAATTAAGCACAATGGAAAACAATAGCTTGTTTGATGTATAAATGTTCAAGGACAAATTACTCAAGCAGTAAGAAATAAAAACAAAACAATTAAAATCATTATTTTTAAAGTGTAGCATTTATTAAAGCTCTGAGAAATGTATCAAATCACACATGATGTAAAAAACACACACAACAAACAACAACAAACAAATTTATTCACATTACATCGTCTCAAAGCGCCTTACAGCATCCCCACCCAAAGCCCCCAGTGAGTAAGCCAGAGGCCACAGTGGCAAAAAAAAACTCCAGAGAAGGAAGAAACCTTGGGAGGGACCAGACTCAAAGGGGGAGCCCATCCTCCAGGGGCCGGCAGGGAGAGTCAAATCGGAGAGATGGCTAAGTGGCAAGTCACACTGTCTAAGTCATAAAATATGAGTCAGAACCGGGGAGCAGGGAGGTGATGACAAGCCGGTGTTTGCGCTCCTTCAGATGGCCGGGCAACCAGTAGTAAGGCAGCCGGGCATACATGGAGGATGACACAGGTAGAAGGGCGAGCTGGACAGAAGGACGTCATGCCTAGTGGAGATGTCACATGTAGCACGGTGTGCAGGATAACTTGATAAATTGGGGTCTCCAGACAGCACCCCCCAGGAGGAGTAGGGGAAATAAAATGTGCAATTAGTCAAAGTAGGGGAGACTATAGGCAGTGCTAACAGTTAGGTGAGTGCAATATGAAGTGCAATGTGCAAGCTCCGGCAGATATGGCTATGGCAGCATAAGTAGGAGGGAGAGGCAGGTGGGAATGCAGGTATGGGGAGTCCCTGAAATGACAGAACTCCAATTCCACAAGGGATTGTGAAGCTAGAGTGACAACACTGACAGTTCAGTTTATCCAAAGCCAGTGGCAC